ACTCGCCCTTTCCAAATTGATAACCATTAATTAATTCACTAAGCTAAAGAACAACTATTGTTAAAAAAATCCAGCTAGTTAACTATGTTTTGTTAAGTAAATTTGTTTTTTAAGTACTCAGTATGACTTAAGAATCTATTTTATCCTAGTATTTTTGTATTAAGTTATAAGCACACAAGGTTTTATTCACTTTGTACTGCATATTTGACATCTGGTAGTGCTCAAAACATAAAATGCATTTAGGATGTTAATTTAAAAAAAACTAGTAAGAGGGGAACATGGAAACTTCCACGCAAAGACTGCAAACAAGAAATAACTTGCTTTAGATGCTGTGCAGTCTCTACGGCTTTCAAAATCTTTAACTTGAAACAGAGTAACAAAGGTATCCGCACCAGTGCATTGAATCTTTGACTCCAGAATGCAGATTTCTAAGTCTTCAGCCTTCCAAGAAGATTCCAACAGTGGAAAGAACTCTCAACAGATTTACAAAACCAAATCTCCTGCAGTCAGGTAAACAGGCTGCATTTAAGGACCAAAACATACGGCCAACGCTGGGGAAAACCAACGGGACTTGGAAGTTCTCTTTCCACACTTTCATAACCAATTTCCAATAACAGATCCTTGATTTTAACAAATTGTTTTTGATGCTAACAACATCTCTACTTGCCTTAAAACTCCAGTGTCACTGTCCAGCTAGGTACTGTGCTTGTGTCCCACTGGTAACTAATATGCAGATGCCTAAGTAAACTTGTAATAATATAAGCAGTATTTTGTGCTGCTGCAATAAACTTGAAACCCTTTATAACATCAAAGCAGCAATTCATTTGGTTCCACAGTTAAGCACCTTGTCATTCCCCCAGTTCTAACAGTACGTGTTACAATACTGCTAATTATTGAATTTCTTGTTGAAAGATGTATACAAAGCAAGAAATACTAGAACCACAGCGTGTCAAAACTAATAATCACCTTAACAGTTTACACTATGAACTGTCATTTTGCAGCATTTTTGACATCTTAAAAACCACATACCTATCACAAATGCTAAAATATCCGGTTGGAAAGCGATACTGCCAGCAGTTTTGATCATCTTCAGTGTGGAAAACCTTCTCTTTATGCTTTTCGGAAGAAATGTGACCCTGCCATTGCTTCTCACTGTTACAGTTCTTCCCACACATCCAACAGTGAAAATCCACCTGTTTTACAGGGAATTTAAAAACAAAGCGTTGAGAATTCAGTACTGTAAGCAAAGAACTGCTCCTAATACATACTGAATGTTTTCTTTATGCTGGCCTGAAAGCTGTTGTTTGCCTAAGCTGGTACAGTTATCTACACAATCACCTGACGGCTATGATCTCCGCTGGCTTCACAGGATTCAGAAGAACTGCTTTACAGTGCCAGGTAAAGTTTGCATTTAGTGTAGCTAGCTATCATCTAAGCACCAAGAAAGTAAGGACAATAATACACATTACTGACTAGCCCAGGGGAGGAACCCACCCGACAAAAACCCGCTCACGTGTGAATTTAGGATGATAGCCATGATTACTTACTGTAACTTCAGCATAGTCAGTCGGCATGTGAATTTGCTTCCCGTTCTCTTTGTTCGCCTGAGCAGCTGCATCATCTCCTTTTTCTGTTTTCTGACTTTTTAGCCATATGTCATACAACTGCTCCAAGTCTTGAACTAATGAGAGCAGAAGCTAAAATAAGTAATTAGCAATTAAGGCAAGAGTTTGAGAATATCAGATAAATGACTGAGTTTGCAAGCATAATTCAGTCCCCGTCTATTGTAAGAAGCAAAAAGAAAGGATGCAATGTAGATGGTTACACAGTCCAGAGATAAGAGCCAAGAGCAACATGAATCTCTATTTACCAGGACCTATTTCTGCCTATCTAGGGGAAAGGAAGATGTTCCACATTTCTGAACAGGCACCCGAAGTACAGGTAACACTGTGCCACTGTGTCTCTGAATTTTAATGTATTAACATATAATGCACGAGAGGTTTTGGTACATTTAGTCTGCTTTGCTGCAGACCATGATACTGGCATTTATGTCATTTACTACTTTCAATTTTTGATTATTTCTCCCCAGTAGCGCTCTAATGGGGTAACAAGTCAACAACAGAAAGTGAACAGTAATTCCCAGTGAATATACTGAAGGGAGCAAATTCTTCCACAGATAGCTTACCCACATATGGCAACAGGATCCTAGAGTGTGCACAGGGCATTACAGAGTATAGATACCAAGCAATGTTGCTGCATGGGTCAATATACTGTTTCTAGGACATCTAAAAAATTGATACAAACTACTTTATTGTTAAAAAATACTTCAAGAAACAAATACATAATGCATCTATTTGTATTTAATACTGGTTTTGAATACGCAGTCTGAGCTTATGCAAACTACAAAAAAAAGGCACCTGCAATGTTTACTCCAAAAGACAGTGAAGGAAAGCAGATTAAAAAGTAACCGGGGAACAAGAATGAAGAGCAGAGCAGTTAGATTGACACCATGCTACATTTACTCTTCTACTTACTGCTGTTCTCCTTCATATAGGTCCACATCTCTCTTTCCTCAGGGCTGTGAGCAAATGAGCAGTTCCCGTCGTACTGACATTTCTTGCCTGACGCAATATGATTGCACAACTGGAACATGGATTTAAAAAAATAACCTTGTGAATATAAAGAAGAGTGGGTAATGGTAGAAAATGTGTTGGGGTTTTCGGTTTTTTTTCAGTCTTGGCTAATGTCTTCCCTCCCAGTCAGACATTTATATTGCATGAAAAACAAAATAACGTTTATTTTACCAAAAACTCATATATTGTAGTTAGAAAAAGCAAACTGCTGGAAGCAAGTATTACGACTCCTTTTTGCCTTCCACTAGATAACCAGACCACTGATGTGTTCAAACTATTTCTGAAGTATTTACTGCAAACAGCAAGAACTCAGTTAAATCATTTAAAAAGTTATTGACTTCCACACACGAGAAAGGGCTTCAGTAATAACATGTGGGATCTGTGCTTTTCCAAGGCTGAACTCTTTAGAAACAGTATTAACATATTCCCACCAACTCCCCTGGGAATTTCTGCAGAACTGATGAAAGCAGCCCCACTACCACTGTTTTCCAGTCGCCCTGTTCTCATAACTGAACCGTTAGCTTCAGGTGAACATACATCAAATTGCAGAGGCACTTGTTTCTTTGCAGGAAGAGGACGAATGGTCATCCACTTCTTGCGTTCATTAGACATTACTAGAACCACACGGCGATCTTTGGTCCACCTACAAGACAGATGTGTGCAGTGGAAGAAAATACTATGAAAAAACACACCTTCAGCAGCAGAACTAGGAAAGCCCAGAGAGGTTCTTTATAAAGCTTTCCCCATGTATTTAACTAAATTCTACTCAAACTTCACCGTAACTGATAATTAAAAACGACCTCAAGCAAAAAATCCCACAAAAGCAAACAGCCATTGAAATGTTTCTCATTAACAATTATTACCATACTACTAAGAGATGGCTGTGTGCTGCTCCAGCATGGTTTTTTTAATTCCTTGTATGACTCTGTCCTTAGCAGTAACCAAGTTTCCCAAAAGAGGCTGACAAAATGGTAACATTTTCACTGCTTGGTCTTACTTACGGGTGTCTTGCCTTTGCACTACAGTATTTTTTGTTTCTGTCTGGCTCATTAACTTGACCATTTCTCCAGCACTGACCACAAACAAACTTCATCTTCAAATTAAGTGATCCGTGTTTCATTTGGTTCCCAAGGATCTTAAGCCAAAATAATAACAACAACAATAAAAGAGAGTTTTTATCTGCAAAGAAATCCATACATAATTATGAATTATCCCCTACGACAGAAGTTTTCAACACAGGGCCAGAAGGATGCTACACTACATGCCTTGGAATAGTTTAGCTTGTGATTTCAAACTGGACATTCCTTAACAAAAGCCTTTTTATTTAACTGATTTCTGACTTAGGCATGTGTACCCAGAAGTTACAATACATACAAATCAAACACAGAAAAGCCCTACATGCTGAAAACATCATTAATTGCCCTATAGCTGCTGACTTTGAAATTATATTTAGGTTTATGTTCTGCCTGTGACAGAATAAGCAAAGCAAAAAGGGAATTGCATAGCGTAAGTGGAGCAAGCAGAGGGAAGCCTACAGGGCAAGAGATTATTTGAAGAGAGCATTAAGAAAGTAATTTTTAAAATAAGCCACATTATACACAGACATAGAAAAAGAATTAACACCAAAGTCACTGCAGACTTAGTTTAAGGGAAAAACGAACATACCTGTGATCCGTGTGCACTGGCTTCCATGTTCTGCCAGTATTTCTTTGACTCTTGAACAATAGCATCATGTGAAATACCTGTAAAGGAAGGGAAAAAGGTCTTGAACACGTACGACTGCTGCAGAATTTGACATGCTCAAACCGGAAGGCTGCTGAAGCCCCAAAGCTTTTATCTGTTTTTCTTTTTCTATCTATTTTCCTATTTATATACACACACGTTCATGGGTGTGGACATACATTTACATCCATACACACACGCACTCTTAAGAATCTCATGAGGGCCTCCAAAACAGAAATACGGTATGTATCATCACTTTGAAAAGCAAGCATGAGAGATTTGAGCAATCTGAAATGTAAAAAACAAGTTATGATGCTTTTTTGAGTATTTCTTTAAAGACAATGTACTAAACCTCTGACAACAATCTAAATAGGAAAGCTACATTGTTTTATGGACCGCAGGAAAATTAGGCAAAATGCAAACTGACAGATAATAGATTGCCCCTACTTTCTTTACAAAACTTTTAAACAAGCCCTGCTAATTAGGTTTTGTTCCAGGCAAAAACTAATTTAAAAAAGAAAAAGAATCTTGCAAATACTTTGGCTAAGATTGTTTGGAAATAGACATTGTGCACATGCACTTAACATTTACTGCTGTCATCTGTGTTTAGATTTGAGGGTCAGTAAAGTATTTCTTTCCTGAGGTAGCAATTCCTTTACTTCCCACACCTCACATTTAGAAGAGAAGCCTCTTTCTGAGCTGCAGCTGGCTTTAGCTGGGCACAAGGGCAGGATGAACACACCGTGAAACGAAAAACGATGCCTTCAGGCAACACAAGTTTCTTGAGGAACCTAATCCTTACTTCAAAACAGAAATTATAGAGTAAGTATTTGCTGTTCTTGAATTTGTAGGGGCAGCTGGCAAGAAAATAACTGTTTTACTTTCTCACAAAAAATGCTAAGGGCTCATTCCAGGAGAGAGAACTGGAAATGAGTGAAAGAAGATTCTCTATTTTACTTTCTTCCTTCAAAATTTTCAGGTCAGCATGACATCTCATGTCAGTATGCCTGTACAAGAATCTAGATAGAAAGCTGAAGCAAAAAGGATCCTCGTCTTCAAAGAAACAACAGCTGAGGATGAACCACAGACAAAGGGGCAAAAATGCCAGAAACACCAGAACACATTGGGATTGCCACACTTCCCTTTTTCCTCCCTGCATCGCAATGATACCAGATGATTAATTTTTATTTTTTAATGTGTCAGGAGGAAGGAGCCAGGCTCTGCTCTGGGATGTCCAGTGCCAGGACAAGGGGCAATGGTCCCAAGCTGGAGCACAGGAGGTTCAAGCTGAAGATGAGGACAAACTTTGTCAGTGTGAGGGTTATGGAGCATGGCCCAGGCTGCCCAGAGAGGTTGTGGAGTCTCCTTCTGTGCAGACACCCAAAGCCCTGGCTGTGTTCCTGTGTGACTGCTCTGGTGATCCTGCTCTGGCAGGGCTTGCACTGGGGGAGCTTTCCAGCTCCCTTCCAACTCCTGACATTCTGTGACTCTGTGATTACTTAATATGTAAAGTACTGCTCTCATACTAAGCAAGACAAAAAGAATGAGCAACTGCCATGTGGTACAAATTATATACTACTAACAGTTCGCTTGCTTAAAAAAACCAAACAACACACAAACGACAAAGCAAAATGTGATGGAGTGCATGGAGAGTTCGGAGGTCGTGTCCAAGGCACGGGCTGTAAGTACAGAGACATGGCCTTCAAAAGCTATCAGCTAGAAATGAAGTAGTAAAACTTGTTATCCTCAAAGAAGCCAAAAATCCCGAGCCAGATAAACAAAAAGCAGCCAAAATGTAAGCAAGAACAGAAAAACAGTTCAGTTTTATGAACACACACACTAACGAGAGACAGAGTAGAGAACTGGGAAGATTAATTTTCTGGCTCACTATATACAGAAGAATATCAGAATGACAGTAAGCTCACAGAAAGGCTTAACTATGGAAAAACCTGATTCTTGTACTGGGTGATTGGGGGAAAACAATGGCATAAATAAAGTATTTCAGTGCTCTGTGAAAAAGAAATTTGATCAGGACCTTCCAAACCCTGAAGGTTTAAAAATAAAAACAAATCCAGTGTGACTTGGATTTAAAATTTGCTCAGGACTTGTAGTTTTCTCTCAAGAAAAAAATATCTGGTCATTACAAGGAGTTTCAACCGTTTTTATTGCCAAAAACTTGCTAAGTTTGAATAGCCAGCAGCCTACTCAACACTTTTGTTTGCATTATTGTGTATTGAGTAAGCTGCACAAAAGGTTTCAGCACACTGTAAGTGAATGCAGTGATCCCAAGTTGCTGGTTTCAGAAGGGAGCTGAGACAAAGAAGTGGCATTACAATAAGGAGTGAAGCCAGCGTTTTACCAAACATACCTGTTTCCTTTTGCATTATCCAGACTTTAAGCTCTACCAGACTGTGAGCATAAAAGCATTTATCCTCTCGTAGGCAGCCATAATGCACCTCATGTCTGCACAGGTCAAGCTGACACCGAACTTGAAAGGGGCGGATTTTGGAATATTTCACCATAGTTTCCCGCAAAATATGGACAAGGCACCTGTTTTGAAAACAGACGGCTTTAGATATTCCTTAAGATTACTTTGTTCATGTGTGGAAAGCCACGTAGAATAACCCCTCATCACAGCTTAGTCAAATGTCTTTTCAACACTTTTTACTTGTCATCAGAAAGCCACAAAAATTTCCAGAAGGAAATAGCATCAAATATAATTTCTAGGCTGAGTAAACCAGCATCACGAAACAGTACTCTTGTGAAATCCAGAAGTGCCTCTTCTGCAAAGCATCACTGAATTGAACCCAACTGGATCACTGGTTTCCACAATGGAAAGCATGGCATGTCCATGTTAAAGTACATATCCTGAGCTAACTACAAACACAAGCACTTAATCCTTCTGCAGAGTATTAGAGTTGATGTACCACAGTTACAGCCTAGCTCTTATACCTGTACTGTATCCTCAGTTATAAAATGTGTTGGGTTGGAAAGGACCTTTAAAGATCACCTACTCCAACCCCCTGCAGTGGCAGGGACATTGGTACCACATCAGGTTGCTCAGAACCCCACCAAACCTGACCTTGAATATCTCCAGGGATGG